GACGCAAACAGGCGTATTTATACTCTATATTTTTAAGCCCGTGACTGTACGAACGAACATAAAAGCATAATTTGTTTATCAAACAAAAAATGTCTGGTATTCCTATATTTTTAAAGAATGTTTTATGTTTCGTTTACTGTTTTCTGTTCTACTTTAAAGTCAGAACGTGCTTTGGCTAGCATAAGCAAAACTGATTCCTAAAATTGTTGTAATAAACTGAAAACTGTTTTGGATTATGCATTTTCACGGTTAATAACAATGTCGTTAAATATCCGAGAATTTCCACCTAAGGCAGAGAATTCTTCATAGAATATTTTTCAATGGAATTACGTTATTATGTAGGTCGTCAAGTCGTTACTAATGTATTTCTTAAAAGTAAGTAAATCACATAATTTTGTTAGTTTTGCGTTCGTAATTATTGAGGTGTAGTAAGGAACTAAAGAAACCTGTCGTAGAACTATTACAAAGTTATAGTTTTGAAGGAGGAAAATGTTGACATGGAGGGAGATACAGTAATTAACTTCTTATCTGTAATTGGCTAATAATTGTTTAGTAAGGAATAATTATGTCAGGTCAGGTAATCATTACAATCTATGTAAATAGGTGCTGGAATTGAATTGGTGGCCAACAGCTGTTGTACATGTTTTAAACAGTAAATAGGTAGTTACAGTTGCTACTATACTTACATATCATACAAGGTCGCCTTATCGGTGAATCACGAATATTTTCGAACAAACTGCCATGATTTATCTCAAAAATCCCCTGAAATTTTAATTTATGACTTAATTTGGTGATGAAATATTAGGTACATCACGCTTTTAAATCGTCGAAAACGTAGGTAATACTTATATACCTACTTATTAAGTTTTGGCGAATTATGTAATTGAGGAGGAGTCTAATAGTTGGGACTAAAGATTTTCGGAAATTACCTATAGTGATACTTTGCCCGATAGGTGAATCAAGTCAGTTAAGGCAGGTCAAGGCGAATTCTTTGGTATTATTTTATCAAAAAGTTGAACACAGAATCATCGTTAAAATTAGGTCAAAGTCAAAGGTTTTGCGTCAAAGTCTATATGTCTCAGAGACGACTTGACCGCAAACTTGACAAGAATTCTTGGTAAATTATTAATACATTGCGCAGTTGCACATTGCATTTTGAGATGCAGTTTTGTATTGATTCATTCACAGTGTAGGCTTTAAGGAAAATGGATGCGTTTATTAGTAGATTGTATCATTGTTAGACATTTACGGTCATTTAAAAGATCACGCATGCGCTGCTCGGTTGATGACGTCACTCAGGTAGTAAATTAACATAATCGTGTGTAACTTTATTTTGTCAAATGTTTACTATCTGCTATCTGTTATGTTGGTTTAGTAAACAAACAAGAAATCTTGTTTATTACGTATAACTTTATTGCACATGGTTGTGTCTACTTGCAAGATCAAGTTCATGATACGTAGATAATGAGATTATACCACACATGTGGCTATGCTATTTAGTATATTATTATATAGTCTTTCAACACATAATATTTACGTATATTCATATATTTATTACTTATTTATTCAGGCAGGGAAACAATTAATAGGTATACCTATGTTTGTATCGTATTTATCCATTTTTATTTACTTCGATTTGGTATGACTATTAGTTTTTGAATTCGTCTAATTACAAGCCCTCAAATGAACAAGGAGAAAAAATTTGATTATAATTAAGAAATCAAGGAATATTCCCTGAAAACTTCACAAAATGGTATCTATAATGGTTCTAAAATCTAAATCGAGATTAATAACATACCATATTTCCATTTGTGCATAATACTTAACCAGTAATCACTATATTTTTATAAATCGTTATCCGCAAAACTGAAAACTTTACAAAATGGTGTCTATTTACGGTTTGTTTGCCTACTATACTACTACCTACTACTACCTACTACTCCGCCATTTGTGAACCGATTTCCTAAATTTTTTTTTTTGTTTGAAATAATATACTTTCGAGATGATCCCATTTCCATGAGGTCAGGATCTGATGATGTAATCCTAAGGAAACCAAGGGGAAATTTCGAAAATTAAGTATAGAGAAAATAGCCCCTAATAATCATTGAGGGTCTGATGATGAAGAAGTGAAATCGTTAAGGGAACTCCTCAAGGGTATACAGTAACTATCTTGTGTTTGGGCTTGATTCATTTGTATTGATGAGAACTTTACACCTAAATCGAGTGGGACTGTCATTAAGAGTCTGATGATGAAGAAGTGTAATTGTTAAGGGAACTTTCAACGGTTTAGGTATAATTTGTATTGAATAGAACTTTGCACCTATGTAGATTATAAGTGACAAAATGAATCTATGTAGCTTCAAAAATTCAAAAAGTAATAACAAACAAAATGTCTAAATTAAAAAGAAAAAAATAACTATCATTAGTACTGATAGGTTATCCACCCACTGATAGGTTAGAAGTCGGTGCCATAAACTCATATCATAATGATATAACTTAATGGCCACAAAATTGTAAATTAGATATCTATTAAGGTTTTAATTTTAATGAATAATTTTGTATAGAACTTATGGTACCGACTTCTTACCTATCAGTGGGTGGGTAGCCTACCAATACTATATAATAATAGTTATTTTTTGCTTTTTAGTTTTGACATTTTGTTTGTTATTATTCTATAGATAATAATTATGGGAATTACAACAGGATAATTATATTACGTACATTAATTATAATGAGGTACTTAGGCATTAAATGACTGTAGGAAAGTATTGATTTAATTTTGTTTTTTTCCTGAACCTATGATATATAAACTTTTGTGCGTCGAAAGTGGATGCAGTGTAATTTTGTATATTACCGTATATTCATGCGTAATTTTTGAACCTTACAAGCGACTATTGTTTTTAAATTAATTTCTAACTTAGTGCTTCGCCATGATTCCTCCAGCTGCAAGTATGTATTACAATACATAATAAGCATTTTTTCAAATTTTAATTTAAATGTAACGTTAGGGAACGTAAAATATGTTTGTATTTAGTTTTTACTTTAACTTTACCAAAGTTCTTAACTATTTTCTGGACACAGTCTAAAAGAAATATTCATAAATTAATGTAGCTAAATCAGTGAATTAATGAATAATGAAAAGACAAAAATAAAATTAAATCCTAACTATGAATCTGTCGTTTCTAATTCAAAATATCTAGGTAGATACAGATAGTTAAGTAGGTACGACCCCGGTGCGTACCTACTTAATATATCATATAGTTTAGTTTTAACATAACAATATAATTGTGTATTTGCCTCAATCAAAAATAAATTATTTCGACTGTTCAATACAATGAAATATTAAAAAATAATCACATTTTCATTAATTGATTTTATGACGTCGTTTCGTGACGTCACAATACACTATCTCGTAGAAAATTCATAGAAAAGTGTCGTTTTTGACAGTTCGAAAAAAGTATCGAATTTGACCAGTTGGCAAGTACCCAATTGTTAACGATCAGTTCAGTGACAGTTTAGGAAATAGTATAAATAATATTCATAACAAAATGTATAAGGAAATGTTCTTTTACTTTTTTTTCTTCTTTTACGAACGAATTTTACCATTTTTTACATATATCAAATATTAATTACTTTTGGTGTGATGAAACCCTGATGTTTCTCTTGATAGCTTCTGTAACGGGGTGAAATAACAAAATAGTTCTGGCATAACGTATTACGACGAGGCTGTTGTAAGAATGTATCTTTCTAAATTCTGTACTGAACATCATACGTCATAATATTACTGCTTTTAGAGACAGTTAGTAGGCCCAATTACCCTCCCCTTCCCCAATCTCCCCAATCCCTGAATCCCCAACGATCTTCAACCTCCTAATCCCCAGGAAGCCGGTAAAGCACTTGTAACGCCTCTGGTGTTCCTGGTGTCTATGGGCGACGCCGATTGCCTACCATCAGGTGATCCGTCTGCTCGTTTACCGGCTTATGCCATAAAAAAAGTTAGAAAAATGGAGGTTGCAACTTAGGAAGTCTAATAACCCAACAATACTTTATCGAACTATGAATTGTGGAGATTATGGTCAAGGGCCATAGAAGAGGCCTATTAATATTACCTTGACAGAGCTCTTATTTATCAATAGACTAGCTACTCCATAGCTACTCGGCTTCTATTGGTCATAGCGTGATGTTTTAGCTTATAGCTTTCTTCGATAAATAACCCAACACGAAAAGTGCAATCCAATTCAAATGGGACCAGTAGTTCTAAAGATTAGCGTGTTCAAGAAAACAAAGAAATTTTCAGCTTTATGAAGTATAGAAGTATAGATATAAATAGTAATACAGATTTTATAAACATAGTAAATAAATAAATTGAAGTTGACAAGAGAAAATGAAAAAAAAATTTTTCTTTTTTAATTTTCTCCATCGCTTAGTATACCGAACCTAAGTATCTTGGGTTCATAGCAGAATAGTAAACCATGATGAATCAGATGGTTTCAGTTAAAATAAATCCGTCGAAATGGACTACGTGATTATTAGGGTCAAAACAAACGGGTAAGTACCGTTTGTTTTGACCATTTTTGGTGTTATGGGGATTTTTTATTGTACTCTTACGTACACAGTATGATTAAGGGTTAGTGTAATAGTGAATCAATTCCCGTGAATGGATGACGTTTATGGGAGGACCCGCCACATGCTTCTGATAAGAGGTCACGCGAGCGAAGGTAGCATATGATGAGCAACTGTAGACTTAAACCAGACGCACAGATCTCGCGCTGAGAAGCGCACGCGCCTACGTCTACGAAGCTTTTAATATTACGCTGGAAGATCGATATAAAATTAATATAAACAGTAGCTGACATTGTTTACACTTCGGACTAGTACAAGAAAGTGATCTAATTGCGGTTTCATTGTGTTAATTGGTATTAGAGTGGTATAAAACGAGTTGAAAGCGATTATAGTTCATAGTTTCATGTGGTTGTTTGTTAGTGTTTGGTGACTGTGAAATGGGTACTGTGAGGAGTAAGTTGGCTGATTGTTCGCATCAATGTAGTTCGTGTTGTGGGCTACGTAAGTCGGATGCGTATGAAATTAATAAGGAATTGCCACGACCACCTCGACTGGACACCCCTAATAGAGAAGGTAAACATTCCCTTAAAGTTAACTATATAAAGAACAAACATACATAACATAACATCACGCCTTTTTATCCTCGAAGGGGTAGGCAGAGGTGCACATTACGGCAGTTAATGCCACTGTAAAATGTAACACCTACTTTTCACTATTTATGTTATGAGTCCCATGTAATAGGGGGCGAGCCTATTGCCATATACCGGGCACAATTCCAGACTCCGTGCTACTACTGAGATTTTTAAAAACTCATTTTTAAGAACAAACATACCTACGTGCACGTGCTGTATTATGATATTAGACTTATTATACTCCAATACATATATTCGGATTTAAGTAAGTAAAAAGTGAATAATTCTCTTCAGCATTTTAAAAATATTTAAAAGACAGTTTAAGTCAACTTGTTATCGAATTTCTTAAGATATTTAAACCACATGTGACCTGCGTTTGCGACTGTTCGACGTTTTACTTCGGTAGGTCAAGGTCACCTTTATTTTTCATATTTTTGATGATGTAAAGTCTAAATATAAAATCGATAAATTGAGATGATGATAAAAATTCTTCCATGTTAACATGCAAGATAATGAGTTTACCTATGTATGTTTGTTAGCTAAGTGTTTCCTTATATTTTACAATAGATAACACGTGTTGATAATTAACATAAGTTAAATAAAATGTTAGAACACACTGATATTGATTGTACCAGGTGTTGTAGCACATGGCATGGCACCTACTTAATTCAGTTTCACGATAACTTGTAGATACTATAGGTATTAGGTATATAACAAAAGGAGTATGCACACGAAATATAAAATAATAAAAAAACACTTTAAATACATCTGTCATTAAGTGGAATTTACATTGCACGAGAACAATGCAAATAGATTACTAAGCATTTGTTTTGTATTAACTGATTATTTTTTGCATTAGCTACTGATGAACGTGTTGTTTCACTGACTTGTTAAAGGACACATTCATAGTTAGTACATGTTACGTAGGTGTTAAGATAAATTAACTCGTTAACATTTTTAGGTTTATATTCAGCCTCTTTTTGCGGTACCATTCTAATGAATCACCACTTTGGTGAATAGAGTTGTTTAAACAGCTGTTTATGACGATGTTTACATAAATATTGAGCAAAAGGTAACCTTCCATGATATAATATTATGTATAATAGAATTTTTTTTTTGGAGATTTTATTATTTTGTGTAGTTCTGAAAATCTATCGATTGACTTGAAAGTACAATAAAATAGTAATAGACAATTAAACAAACGTTCCAAAATGCCTAGAGAATCGCTATTACCTAACAATAATTCCCTAGCAAACGCTATAGAAATATGAATGAAAATGAAAGAAAAAAAATTGAACATCGTCCAATTTTCGTGATCTGTCCTACATTTCTCTGTCAGTCAGATGGGATTCTGAATTTAAATTTGACAGAAACAAACAAGGCTGACTTTATACAGCGTTTAATTTATGGGTTGCCATCGTTTTGAAGTGGGTTAAAAATAAATATTCTTGGTTATTAGCGCAGCTGGTCTCGTGGGGAACTTAACCAATATTTTTATTGTTATATATAAAAACTGAGAAGGTGGTACTCTGGAGACTGAGGTTTCTTAACTGCTTTCCTCTCTTTTCTTAAACTCAAAATAATCCTATATTTTCAATTTATTAGTGTCAAACTATTAGGTTCCCAATTCCCTTAAAATGTCCCTTCTCATTATTAAAATCAATGTATTCTATAAACTATATTAAAAATAGCCAATTTCATCCAAAACCCACATTTGGAACATGTCCCTGTACTTACGATATCACTACTATTTGTATTTCCATTTATCACTTGCCGGGCAAACCTGTTTTGTCCTAAGAAGCCTCGAACCTCGAACGCTACTGTTTGTAAACTGGTTTACATCTCAAGTACTTATTGGTACACATCAAGCTACGAAAGCTAGTATAACCTGACCGTTGAATGTGCGGAGAGATAATACTAAACGAGATCATGATAAATTGGTTTTGTATAGTTTGATACGTAGTGTGTACATACTGATTTCAATGTGTATTACTCTTTACTTGCGACCAATAAGGTTAGTCAATTTAAAAAGATAAAGGCACTTAAAACAATTTCTTTTTATCAGTTAGCAACGGAATTTGTTTGAACCCAATGATAAAGAATAGGGTGTTAATTATTTCTTGGATTAAGTAGTAAGTAATTTATTTTGTTATTTTATGACGGTATGACGTTATCGAAATTGCATTATATAGGATTGCATTTTTAAAACGATTGTATAAAAAAATGCTTTCGTACTTTTTTCAATTTGAGCGTTTTAAAATTAATTCTATTGTTGTACCTACTTAAGTAAGTAAGTACTTAGGGCCGATTTTTCCAATACCAGAGGGCCAAGCACGAATAACTATCGCATTCGTATCGTAACAGTATCGAGCGAAGTAAGCGTTTTGATTGGTTGGTTCACTTGGGCCGGCCAATCAGAGCGCCGAACGCACATGATACTATTACGTTACGATTGCAATAGTTATTCGTGCTTGGTACTCAGTTAAATTTTGACTGAGGAATAACTTTGAATACTTGACAATTCTTCTATACCTAATGAAAACTGTAAAATTCAATTTTATTCTACAGTTAAGAATTAACTGATGATAGAAACATCGGCCCTTATACCTTGTTCGCACTATGTTAGTATTTTAGTCAAGCACCGAGTGTTTAGTACATCCCTCTCGCTTCTGTCCCAAAATTGAAGCGAGAGAGAATTACTAAATACACGGTACTTAAGTAAAATCCTAGCGTAGTGCGAATACGGCATTACTAAGATATAATAAATGTCATTGATTAGTCAGTTGGTACCCTAAGTAGGTCTAATGATTAATTCTTTATTACTCATAAAGAGTTCAAGGTAGGTACTTACAAGAAGTCCCTTAGTAATTCATGTTAAAATGTTGTTAACGTTCATAATTGTCACAATGTTACGATCCATAATATTCTTGAATCGATTAAATGTACTAATAAAACAGAAAACGTAATTGCCAACAATTAAAAACGCATATTTAGGAATATGTGTAAATAAATAAGCAAGAATGTGGTATAAGTCATTGTATAGGCGCCTACGCATACATAGTAAGCTCCACTTAATTGCAGGATACGATTCCATTACATATTTCTTCTACGTAAGGTGACACTACATTTTTAAGGTATTGGCAGTTCTAGGTGTTTTCTATCAGTTACGTTAGTTGCATGTTTCTGTTTAGAAAAAACGAACTAATGTGGCAGAGATTAGGCACTCAGCATGTACAGACAAAACAAAGAAATAATTAGGTGGATACCTGACTAATAAGAAAAATTTGAGGAAAATCTCGAGGGAAATACCAATAGTTGGAAGATATATGAATAGATGACCTAATAACTGAGACGCTGGTGCAGGTTTAGGTCACTTCCAACTGACTAATATGTAAGTCTTTGGAGGAAGCTTATACCTATTCAGTATTGTCGCGGAGAACCTTACGGGTAACCGGGGCTCCGGCTCGACGTGCAGGAGAAGGAACGGGGTGGTTTTTAGTCAGTAAGGGTCTGACACTCCCTCCCGCCTCACCCAGGCGGGAACAGTCATTCGATGATTTTCCCCCCTTAAAAAAAAATACCTATTCAGTACATCAGGACGTCTTATATATGATGATGGTGGCCCATAGTAGGTTATTTAGGTTTAGGTTTAAGAACCCACTTAATATATGTCGAAATACTTAAACGCAACTCAATTTTAAGTTGCGCTTAAGTATAGTTGTGTCAACACAAATCTTTTGTAAAATAACGGAGATGGTACGATATTTAAGCAAACTTATAATAAGGTGATGCCTCATTTTTATTTTAATGTCCGTCTGGTAGATTATTTTAAATCATTAGACACGTACTTTCGACGATATATTGATTTGAAATGTCGCGTGACGTCACTTCTATGTACACTTTATACGTAGATATGACATTTTAGCCCCCACTCCTAAACTTTGATTCGTTTTATCTAAGTAACGTTTTATTATACGATATTTTTTTATTACCTAACTTACGGACTAATTAGATTTTTAAGTTTCATACCCTGTCACCATCCCAATTGAGTAATCTTTCAGTATTCGGGCGATAGACTCATTGTAATGTAATGTAATGCGATTCATTTGAGACCATTTAACTACCTGTTATTATTTTGATTAATTTTATTAAATCAGAAGTTTACAATGACGTTCAGGAAATATTTAATGTAGACGTCATATTTACTCAGGATAATTAGTCAGTAAATAGTAATTCAATAGAGGTAGAATGTGGTAAACCGACCATTGTTTCAGTAGGTACGTACATAATGAATGTATTAATTACGTACTTGTTTACATTGTTATTTGTATATCGTGATTGATACTTTAAACTCAATAACATTGAGTTGAAAGTCTTTTAAAGAGACGTATTGGATTAAGCTACCTACAGCACTGTCTCTTTGTTATATTTTACTAAGGTCTACTGTCACGATAGGCGGATTTAACGTTGTCGCTTCGTGGACTGTTTTCATTGTCTCTAAGCGCAAGATGCAAGCATTTGTCATTGCTGGGCCGCCTATTGTGTGTGAAGGATGCACGCATTCGTCACTCTCTTTATGACTGATCTCATATTAGTGCAAAATCGTAGGTAAATAAACGCGGAAAATATGTAAGAAAAAGGTCATATCTTATAGGAGATATTTCCCTTAGGAAAAAATAACTACAAAATTAATTTACCATTTTATTAGACGATCGCGAGTGCATGTTATGCATACGAAGTAACTGTCTACTTTAGCTTACAATCTGGGACAAAGAATACAGTTTTCCTTATAGCAAAATAATGCAAGATATAGGTGGTAATTTATTTTCTTCCATCTACCATGAGTACTACTGATCTCTACGTAAGATCTTATTACAAGAGGTATAAGGATAATTTAAATACTTACTTTAAAATATTTTTTATTTATCGTCACTCCTGTTT